TTAACCTCCATGACATCGTGTGAAAACAATGCTGTCTAAGAAATTGCAAATCGACAATGGCTGCGTTTTGACGAACCCTTTGTCGAATACAATGTATCAGGCCACCAACATTTTCAAGTAACATATATATATATATATATATATATATATATATATATATATATATATATATATATATATATATACCGGATTTGTTTGTGTAGTTCAGGTTCAATGAACTGCATACTACCTGTGCGTTTCTTTTTTAGAAGAGTGTACTTCTTGGTTGGCCAGTACAATACCCGTGCTGTTTAAAGACTCTGTTCGAGATGTCCTCCCACACATCTAGCTGACAAGCCGCGATATAACTGAAATACTGTTCAAAGTGCCATTGAAACCAACTCAATCATTCATTTGGGTGTTCAGGGTCTGATGAGGACGTACAGACGCTAAAAACAAATAGAGAGAGACGGGCCGAGAAACGGACCGGTCATTAAGTACTTTCAAAGATATATCGCATATGGCCCACGAGCTACGATTGTGGCACCAGGTTTTCCATAAAGACAAATCAATCCTGGCTTGAGTCTGTCGATTGCATGATGAGAGTTTATTCTGAAGACTTCAATGAATTTGAAAACACAGTAGTGTTCGTCTTAATAATAACAAAATGTTTCTCCTAAACAGAACCCAAACGCTTTAGTTTAAACATATCTTATTCACACACGTGAATGGAACTGGTAATGAGCTTTGAATACCAATGCACATAGTTACTTAAATGTGTACAGGGGGCACGGATGGACCAGTCGGCCAAGGCACCGCGATTCGCTGTGTAGATTTGCTCCCTTGGGCACGCCAGAAACCTATGATTGTGGGTTCGAATCCCGGTTCGCCCCGATTATGTTTCTAGGTTTGTCAGCACCATACTCGTGCTCGTGGGCTTCGCCGAAGTGGTAAATGTCTGAGACCTGCATCACTTCGAGCTCTCCTCCCACATTGAGCCGATAAGTCGTGATATAACTGAAATAGTGTTAAAAGCGGCTTTAAACCCAACTCACTCACTCACAAATATGGACAATTATGTAGTCGTGTAAGTTATCTGCATGTCTGCAACCTTTACTCAGACCTCTTTCCTCACTCATTCACTCACCAAGCCACTCACTCACTCGTTGATATTTTATGAAACATTAAGTCTTTGAAAGGCATTTAGAATTTGTGGGTGTTAACTACTTTGTTATGAGGAACACAACGTTTCCGGTATATAACTCACCCGATGAAGGAATAAGTATATACTCCGAAACGTTGTAACCCGTGAAGATCCGGGGTAGAATAGGTCTTCAGCAACCCATACTTGCCGTGAAAGGCGACTACGCTTGTCGTAAAAGGCGACTAACGGGATCGGGTGGTCAGTCACGCTGACTTTGTTGATGCATGTCATCTATCCCGACTGCGTGGCTCGATGCTCATGATGTCAATCACTGGATTGTCTGGTCCAGCCTCGATTATTTACAGACATCCAGTTATTGACATCATGAGCATCTATCCACGCAGTTGGGATCGATGACATGCATCAACCAAGTCCACGCAATTGGGATCGATGATCAGGATTCACGGGTCAGAACCTTTACAACCGCTTCTGGCACTTACAATGTGTAACATGTTCAGAGGGAGATATTTAACACGTAAACATAACACAGTTTTATAATTACATCCCTCTGCTGAGTGTTATAACAGCTATTATACCACACATTGTAGGTATACTCAGTATATTTCTTCGATTTGTGTGATTTGTGAAGGTAAAGCTTTTATTACCATATAGCAACCGATCGGTTTTACATGGCGTATCATATGTTTAAATTGGATAAGCATAAGAATTATTTTATAAACGTTTAAAAAAGCACTATCAACATACAGTGTCTGACACTTGAATAGAAATATTTCATCTTCCGTCACAGGGTTCCTTTTAAGTCCCAGCACAGAGAATCCAATCTCCAACCGACGTATTTTTATGTGCGCTTGTTACATATTTTATTTTCATTAGGAAACAATTATTTTGATTATTTATAACTGGGACTCATGAAGGGTGTCTTTGTGGCGTCACAGGTAAATCAGCAGAATACATGAAACTACTACTTGGACGTACACTCTTACATGTCCAGGTATTTCTGGCTTCATTGATACGTCTATATACAAGTATATGTGACATGTTCATTCACATTTTAAAGAGCAAGAAGCAGCCCTAAAACCGTGTGTACAATAAAGATTGAAGTTGCTATCCTTAATATTCCTTGGCGCGTTGCGGTCGGTGAGATTAAGGGGAGTCATGAAAATACGACACATCAAAAGAGGTGGTCGGCACAATTTTTTCACAACTATGAGGGGAAGACCCGGGAGCACGAAACAATGACACAGTTCGACTTTATGTCAAACTAAAAGTTAAATATTTGAACAATATTTAGGGACTGGTCATAAATTAGGTTGGAGGGGTGTGGGGTGTGTGTGTGTGTGTGTGTGAGTGTGTGTGTGTGTGGGGTGGGGGGGGGGGGGGAGTGGGGGGGGGGGTGGGGTGGGGTGGGGGTGGGGTGGTTGTGTTGACATGTATTTTGGGGGACCGGATAGCAAAATATGATACAGTCCAAAGACCAACCCCATCTCAACTCCCCACCCAGCCCCTATAATAAATGTCCAGTCTCTTAGCTATCATATCATTCTCCATTGACGATTGACAAAATTCATTAAAACAGACATAAAATATATGTACAACACCATTTTCCGAACAATAAGAATATTTTGAAATATTTCTACCACCACTAATGTCAGAGCCTTGAAGATCACGACATGATGTTCGGTGCATGTACACACATTCCGTGTGTATGTGAGATTGTGTGTGGTGTGGGAGAATATGTGTGGTGTGTATAAGAGAGAGAGAGAGTGTGTGTGTGTGTGTTTGTGTGTGAGAGAGAGAGAGAGAGAGAGTATGTGTGTTTGTGTGAGAGAGAGTGTGTGTGTGTGAGAGAGAACTTGTGTGTGTATGTGTGAGAGAGCGTTTGTGAGAGAGAGTACTAGTGTGTGTTTGTGTGAAGGGAGGGTGTGAGAGAGAGCACTAGTGTGTATTTGTGTGTGAGAGAGGGTGTGTGTGAGAGAGAAAGCACTAGTGTGTGTTTGTGTGTGAGAGAGTGTGTGTGTATGTGTGAGAGAGAGTGTGTGTGTGAGTGTTTGTGTGAGAGAGTGTATGTGAGAGAGAACATTGGTGTTTGTGTGAGAGAATGTGTGTGTGTGAGAGAGAGTACTAGTGTGTGTTTGTGAGAAGAGAGTGTGTGTGTGAGAGAGAGCACTAGTGTGTGTTTCTGTGAGAGAGAGTGTGTGAGAGAGCACTAGTGTGTATTTGTGTGAGAGAGAGTGTGTGTGAGTGTGTGTGTAGTCTGTGAGTGTGAGAGAGAGCGCTAGTGTGTATTTGTGTGAGAGAGGGGGCGTTTGTGTGAGAGAGCACTGGTGTGTGTTTGTGTGTGAGAGAGCACTAGTCTGTGTTTGTGTGTGAGAGAGAGAGTGTATGTGTGTGTCAGCGAGAGTGTGTGTGAGTGTGTGTGTGCTGTGTGTGTGTTTGAGAGCACTGGTGTGTGTTTGTGTGTGAGAGAGTGTGTGTGTTTGAGAGCACTAGTGTGTGTTTGTGTGTGTGAGAGAGTGTATATGTGTGTGTGTGTGAGAGAGAGAGAGAGAGAGAGAGAGAGAGAGAGAGAGAGAGAGAGAAAGTGTGTGTGTGTGAGAGAGAGAGAGAGAGCACCGGTGTGTGTTTGTGTAAGAGAGAGTGTGTGAGAGAGAGAGAGCGCTTGTGTGTGTGAGAGAGAGTGCTTGTGTCTGTTTGTATGAGAGAGAGGGTGCGTGGGAGAGAGAGCACTAGTGTGTGTTTGAGTGAGAGAGAGTGTATGTGTGTGCGAGGGAGAAAGTATGTGTGAGTGTGTGTGTGGTGTGTGTGTGAGGGAGAATGTGTGTGTATGTATGTGTGTGTCTGTTTTGTGAAAAAAATGAGTGCTCACTTTTATCAAGAGATCGAACTGCATCCTATCTGTCCATTAAATGTACAGGTGAGGTTATAGGAAGCGACATTGTTCTTCCCATCACCAATATGCCTTCAGCAAATACTTTCACCATAATATATATAGATGTAAGACATAAATGTGGGTTAAAGATTTGATCCCAGTAAGATTTAGCCATTCTTATGTAATTGATCATACCAATAGGAAAAAACACTTATAGGTGAAGGGAAGAAATGGGCCTTGTTGTAAGTTTTGTTTGTTTGTTGTTCAACGCCGCACTCGGCAATATTCCAGCTATATGACGGCAGTCTGTAAATAATCGAGTCTGGACCAGACAATCCAGCGATTGACATCATGAGCATCAATCCACGCCATTAGGATCGATCACATGCTTCAACCAAGTCAGCGGGCCTGATCATGACCACCCGATCCCGTTAGTCGCCTCTCGCGACATAGTCGCCTTTTACGGCAAGCATGGGTTGCTGAAGACCTATTCTAACCTAGATCTTCACGGGTATATTTGTAAGTAATAATAACATGTCCGATGTAATTGTCTTACTACTATTTTAAGTTTTCTGTAAATTCAAAATTTGACATATTCAATGGGACGCAATGCTCTTTACATCTTTTCCCTCGTCCCCCACGTCGCTACCTGAGTGTAATAATCTTGAACGCGAGGTTAAACCCCATTTTACCTCACCTGTTACCCTGACCGATCTTATTCACTTTCAGGTTTCGACAAATCTTGCCATCCATTAAATCTCTTGGCAACTCCGTATTCATCCAAAGAACCCTTAATCAGTTCGTGATTGTCTGTGTTGGGTGTGGGTCTCACTTAGAATCATTATATGTGATTATTCGTTATATCCGTCTATTCGTTAAATCCGACTTCGTAACTCAGATATTTTTGCCTTGGCTAGGAAGACAACCTGGCTTATTCCTCACGACACAGTGGAAACAAATACGTCCAGAACATATAACTGCATTTATTACAAATGTTTAATATACCAAATATGACAAATTGTCAACTGGGTTCATTTCTCCGGCAATATCTGTCTTGACACGGCCTCCTGGAGTCTCAGAGGCTCAGAGGCTCGAAGGCTCAGAGGCTCAGTATTGATCCCAAACTACCAGACACGGCTGCAACAAAAAATAATATGATATACAAGAAAAATGAATATCATTCACTGATGCTGAGCTGACAATGTCATATTTTTGGTTTACCTTTTTGAAAATGACATATACTGGGTTTAGTTTTATTTACCCGACTGTTCTATCTGTGAAGGATTAGATAAATATCGCTCAGTCACTTTTGCTCTGAAAGGAGGAGTCTGCACTTGGTTTAGAACTCATTTCTTCTCAGGACATCAAGTAGATAATTATTTGGATGTAAAACCTGAGGTCAAATTCTTTTGTCCCAGTGTATGCTGAAATAATCATTTTAAAAATCCAGATATCTCAATTGATTTTCATGTTTATACAGTATGGAGAAAGACGTCATTAATTTCTTAGTTTGTCCTGATTAGATTATCGACACGAAAGGTAAAGTTGGATAGATTGGTCAGGCTTTCTGATATTGATGACAGCAAGGCATCGGTCCCGATCGTGTCGGCGTTGCTAATGCCTTCAGTTTCTGGTTTGTCTAGTCTCAAATATTTACAGACATCTGCAAACTTGACCATTTCCATAGTTCGCTAATTAATGTTCAGCTAATGTTACCCATGTTCAGTGGATATCGTTCAGGGAAGTGTTCATTCTCCCGCAGTCAACTTGTCTCTTTATCTTATCTCACATCAGATCTTGATTTGATTTTACCAAACTTCTATGACCAAAACATTCACAGCGATATATGACTTTGTTCACGGTTTAGATGAATCTGAATAGTCTTGCTAATTATTCTTTCCATTTTCCATAAAAAATATAACTGCAGTATATAACATGTTTATTCTGTACACGATCATCGTATCCGTGGAATCGATACATCCTATGTGTAAAACAGTTCATTGCATTTAAGGTGAAAACTCCATGTAGTTATTTTGATCATTGTAATGTCTTGTTTATGAGATGCAATTAATTCCTGATAGTTTTTATTGTATTATTGTTTGTTTGTTTGTTTGTTTGTTGTTTAACGCCACACTCAGCAATTATTTCAGCTATATGACGGTAGCCTGTAAATAATCGAGCTTGGACCAGACAATCCAGTATTTATTATAAAGGAGGGGTAGCCCAGTGGTTAAGGCGTTCGATCGTCACGCTGAAGGGCATCTGGGGTTTAATTCCCAACATTGGTACAATGGAACCCATAATGGTGTCCTTCGTTAAAAACTTCATGAAGTAGCGAAAAACGCGTCTCTCACTACGTTTAGCTTCCGCCAGTAACAAAAGTATCAAAAGAGAAATATCCCAGCTTCATTGCAATTCACTGCATCATAAGATGTCCATACATGTATATGTTTGACGTTGAGAAAATGCCATCAGTGTCTGTGCTGAATAGCAATAATTTGAGCAACAATAAAGGCTTAGATTAAGTTAAGTGAGTTCTGTTCACGCAGCTTTTAAACCCATGTCAGTAATGAACACGCAATGCCATTTAGAAAGAGGTCAAATGTAACAAATGTTATAATTCGGATAACACTTTCTTAGTAAAGTACAGATTCTGATACCGTTTTAGTTGAGGATCTTCTGGGATACGAAACCATACTCAAGAGTGGGGCACCAAAGAGCCAGCACACAAAGTCACCGTTATAACCCACTCAACCATTTCTACCAATATGAAAGTCCGACAACTGTTAGTCTAGATCACGTAGTTTGTGTACCCCTCTGATAAGAGTACATTGGCACGCCTCCCATGGCCGAAAGCTATGCACACACAATGCCATCTGGAGTGAGTGAGTTGGTTTTATGCCGCTTTTAGCAATATTCCAGCACGATCACGGTGTGGGACACCAGAAATGGGCTTTACACATTGTACCCATGTCGGCAATCGAACCCGGGTCTTTGGCGTGACGAGCGAACGTTTCAACCAATAGGCTACCCGACCGCCCCTAAATGCCATTTGAAAAGTGGTCAAATGTAACCATTGTTATATTTAGGATAACTCTTCCTTAGTAAAGTACAAATTCTTGTACTTTAGTGGGTTGAGTCCCATCCTAAATATACCCATGGGGGTTCTGGCGCGACTAACTGACTGCGAAGCAAATGGCGGCGTTGATTGGTTAGAACATACAAAAAAACTTACCATAATCAAATGCATCAGAACCTCCGGAAACGGGGTTGTAGCTGTTGGATTTCGGTCTCACTGTTCGCTGAACCGCCCTGTAGTTATTTACGACGGGCCGAGGACGGAAGATCACGGGGCGTAAGTAACGGACCACTGGTACAACATAACCATCAACTGTTGCCGTGGCAACGACACACGCAAGAAGGATTAGCAGACCTTTCATTTTCCCGAAATCTGTAAAAGTTAAACAAAGCTATGAATTTACCAAGTGATATAAAAATGAACTATGTTTTAATATTGCATGAGATATTCATAAATTAATTCATTTAATTATTTCATAGATCTTAATAAAACTACTATTGCCACAGAAACAATAAACGTGTTCCCTTTGCTATTAGTTTCTATTATTCATATTATCATCTTAACAAATGGGATAGGTATCTGAAATTGCCTTAGGTGTTTCTCTGTCTATATAGAGAATTTAACCCGAGTGCCTTTTGTTATCAAATACATCAACGAGTGTTTGTTATCAAAAGACACGAGTATGAGATTTTATTTATCATCCAACATCATTCTTCCAACTGTTTCAGTTTGTAGACAGTAATAAGCAAGGTCAGTGGCAGAGCCATTAGTGATGTCATATGATTGTGACGTCATGGTAACCGATGACGTCACAATGGTCTGCAAGCATTGTGATACAATTTCAATGCAGCGATATCTACAATGTATATCTCCTGCGGGAGCCAGTTTTGGAAGATAAATCTTCGTCTCATCTTTCCCGGATCCCTATGCACTCTAGTCCAAATTTGTTTTCTGTATTCGTTATTTGAAGTGATTGTGTCTGAATGTTAAAATGCAATGGTCGTCCCGGCCAAATGGGTCCGTCCTACTCCATATACATTCGTGGCTCCTTATATTATTTGTTATAATTATATTTTAAAGAAATAAAAAAGAAGTTGATGACTATAACAGTAAAAAAAATATCTTACAATTGACAAAATCAGCACTTTATGATCCACAGCAACGGAATTGATGTGGCTACATTTCTGGTATAGTCCATGTATATTAATGACAATGAATACGAGACTTACTTGATATTGCACTGGCTTCATGTGTTATCAAAATACGCCGAGGCGGCGAAGTATTTATATGTGATACCGACTTAGAATTAGGTAATACCGCCCGTACTATTATGTAACGCAGTGTGTCCCGGTCTTTGTGAGCAGGATGTGTGTCTATCAACCGTGAATTGATAGGTAGGATTGGTAACAGAATTTTAGTCTGGTCACAGACAGCAATGTGTGTGAGCTGGCATCGTCATAACTCGTGATCATGCACTATTATCCCCTACCAACATGTATTGGAAATACGAAAAGTATTAAGTTTGAATAACATTGCACATATTTTTAATTGTTTTGATCGGGGGATACATTTATGCACGCATACATACATATAATTCATTTCTAAAACAAAACCATTAATATTTTGATCCAAAATATAATTTCCTAACAAACGAACCCCTTGGAAAAACGGGTTAGAATTGGTACCAGAGCCCTATTTTTGGTAGTAAGGATTAATGTTTTCATCGCGAGTCGGACTGTAATTTGGCTGAATACGTCTCATTGAATCCTGATTGCGTACAGCGTTGTTGGTGTTTGTAAAACGTTCGGTATTTGCAGGCTAATATAACAATATTCTGTGGTAAAATCTGCAGTAAAAACATATCCAATTCCCCCTAAAATATTAGTACAAACTCATTTGGAAAAACACGAATCCAAATCGGAAACGAAATTATTCAACAAACTGTTGTTATAAACAGTTATCATTGGATAAGACATACAATGATGCAAGTAAATATACATAGTGTCATTGATATTTCATCATGGTTAGATGTAAAGGTAACTTATATAGTCATAATACCACAAGAATGTTTACAAGTGAGAATTATTTATTTGTAATTTCGTTTTGTCGTAGGATTCATGTTTTGTATGTTTGAAACGCATGTTAAATATTTAGTCATCATTCGTAGGAGAAAAATCGTAAATAATTGTAAATAATGAACATTAGTGTATTGAATGATAACAAAAGGTAGATGCCGCGATTTTTCTGCAATTCCACGATTGTTCTGCAATCCCACAATTGTTCTGCAATTCCACGATAAGTTGTGTCTTCTACAAATCTCCCCGCGATCGCGGAATATTCGTCTGGGACTGATAAATAGACGATTAGTGATTGCCGAGTTAAACAACATTCACTCAGTCCTTCAAAACGATGTATGTATGTACAAGATATTGTATGTACAATATGACATAGTAATATAGATGTTTTGACCATCACACAAGATGATGAATATTCAGATATTGAGATGAACCTTACATAATTCATTCAAAGAACAAAGCAAAGTATACTATTCCATTAAAGTAGATAACATAGTTACAGAATGCTGTGTAATATCAGATGAAATAAATGAGGTGCAGTGACGCATAAATTAATATGTCAGATGATTGCATAATGATTCAATGTCACCAAACGTGACACATTGGTAGATGATTTGGAAGCTATTATGCGCAGAACATGACAAGGAGTTGATGGCAATGAATCTGGTCTGTCATGATCAATAACAAGTACATGAAACGTTGTAATGTTGAAGGACTCATGCATCCATGGAATTCGAAAACATGATCCATCATCAGTTGCAGCTCCACCTGTTGTCTGAACATGAGCCAAAGTCGTGACATCTTGATCTTAAATTAGCAACAACAATACATCTCTTTTTTCTGTTTATAATTGAGCATGGATGTAAATATAATCTATTCGACAAACATATGATTCTCGTATTTCCTTGTTTTGTTTCTCTTGCAAGAAAAATATGATATCCATGCGTGGGTCATGTGGAACTGATATACAGTTTAACGCCGTTAGCAATTCTCCGTTAATCTGGAAACCCGATTTCTGGACGTTTATTGTAGTGCGCATCTTATTGCTCATGTTTTGAGGGGGCACAGTAGGCCCAGTCGTCTAAGACGCCGCGATTCGCTTTGCAGGGTTGCGTCCCTTGGGCACGCCAGGAACCTATGATTGTGAGTTCGAATCCCGGTTCGCCCCGATTATGTTTCTAGGTTTGTCAGCACCATAACCGTGCTCGTGGGTTTCACCGAAGTGGTAAACGTCTGAGACCTGCATCACTTCGGGCTTTCCTCCCACATGAAGCTGACACGTCGTGATATAACTGGAATACTTTTAAAAGCGGCGTTAAACCCAACTCACTCACTCATGTATTGATACTTGTAATAATGCATAATAGTGCTGTACGTTTAAAGTGTAAACTCCATCCGCAAATGCTCGAAACTCTGCATTATTACCTCGGTCACTGGATGTGCAGTTTTCATTATCACCTCCCTGGGGAGTATACAACCTAAGCCGCCTGTGGTGCGCTAGAAGGTTAAACTGTAATCCCCAAAAGCCTCAGTGACAGTGTTTCACTTCATTGCTGTCTGCTGAAACATGCATCAGGTGATAACGAGTCAAAGTAAAATGACATATTCGTGATAGTTGAGATTGTTACAGTTGATGAATGTATGTATTATAAGTACATACGTGTATCACGTGTTATGCATTATTAGTAAATATTAGGCACAGTTTCAATATAGAGACATGACATCACTTGGTCTTTTAGGTACATGCATCTAATTCCGATTTCAGCTTTGAAAAACATTTCCATGTCAGTCGTAATGCCTGTATGGAAGCCATGAAGCCATATACATAGACGTGACGTCACGTGCTTGATACGTCACAATTGCCTGTTTGCACTTTAAATTACTATACCAAACGTCTCCTGGCGGTCACACGATAGATTTAATATGTCACGCAGGATATTTCATGAATAGGAAAGGATGAATCTCACTATTGACCATATGCTTCTTGGTTTTTGCGCAGTTTGTTTTGAAAGTGTAGTTATCTTGACAATGCACGTTTTGTGCTCCCCGTGTTACATTCACACAAAGCAGGTAGTGTGCAGAGGACGCCTATCCTGGTACCTCCCTAAACTGAGCCTTTGATGCATAAAGATCGATCGTATTGTGTATTCGTTTGTACGTGATATTATTTGTCAAAATGTGATGAACTCCATTTATTTAGTAGGGAATGTTGTGCATGAATATGAATGCATAGACCTTGAGCAATATACATGTATGTAGGCACTGAATTTAATATTGTTAATGTAATAATTTGTGCGAGGGGAACTTCCATTATGCACAATCTAACAACTAGGAACATCACCAGATAGTCTGATCAAGACTCAGCTGTATACATGCCGCCGTGGCATGGCAGGAGTACTCATCACTATCCTTATCTTGACTCTTACCAACAACGTCATCACCATCCTTATCTTGATTCTCATCAACAATGGCATCACCATCCTTATCTTGATTCTCATCAACAATGGCATTACCACCCTTATCTTGATTCTCATCAACAATGGCATCACCATCCTTATCTTGATTCTCATCAACAATGGCATTACCACCCTTATCTTGATTCTCATCAACAATGGCATTACCATCCTTATCTGGAATCTCAACAACAATGTCATCACTAACCTTATCTTTATTCTTATCAACAACGTCATCACCATCCTTATCTGGATTCTTGTCGACAATGTCATCACCATCTTTATCTGGCCTCTTGCCAACAACGTCATCACTATCCTTATCTTGATTCTTACCAACAACGGCATCACATCCTTATCTGGACTCTCACCAACAATGTCATCACCATCCTTATCTTGATTCTTACCAACAACGTCATCACCATCCTTATCTTGATTCTCATCAACAATGGCATCACCATCCTTATCTTGATTCTCATCAACAATGGCATTACCACCCTTATCTTGATTCTCATCAACAATGGCATGACCATCCTTATCTGGAATCTCAACAACAATGTCATCACTAACCTTATCTTTATTCTTACCAACAACGTCATCACCATCCTTATCTGGATTCTTGCCGACAATGTCATCACCATCTTTATCTGGCCTCTTGCCAACAACGTCATCACTATCCTTATCTTGATTCTTACCAACAACGGCATCACATCCTTATCTGGACTCTCACCAACTATGTCATCACCATCCTTATCTTGATTCTTACCAACAACGTCATCACCTTCCTTATCTTGATTCTCATCAACAACGTCATCACCATCCTTATCTAGATTCTTACCAACAACGTCATCACCATCCTTATCTGGACTCTCACTAACAACGTCATCACTATCCTTATCTACATTCTCACTAACAATGGCATCACTATCCTTATCATGATTCTTACCAACATCATCATCACTATCCTTATCTTGATTCTCATCAACAGCGCCTTCACTTTCCTTATCTGGCCTCTTGCCAACACCGTCATCACCATCCTTATATGGACTCTTGCCAACAACGTCATCACCATCCTTATCTTGACTCTTCCCAACAATGTCATCACTTTCCTTACCTGGTCTCTTGCCAACAACGTCATCACTTTCCTTATCTGGATTCTTCCCAACAACGTCATCACTTTCCTTATATGGACTCTTGCCATTAACATCACCACCCTTATCTAGACTCTTCCCAACAACGTCATACATATCCGTACATCTTGAAAGTTACCAGAATGCGTCAGCTTCAGCCAGACTTAAGAAACAGTGCTTAGCTACAGCGCAATGTTTTGTTCCGAATGGTGCGTCTGTAACAGTATCAACTGCGCCGCTACCAATGTCGTGTAGAAAACACTCGAGCAGACTATGATGGTGTGAACCTCACTGAAATCGATGCCGACCCTCAACAACTTATCCGTCTTATATATAACCAGTATCATGATCCAATCCCGAACTATTTAGTTTGTTCCAAGTGTGACACTGGGAGCAGTACCGCCAGATGAACACAATCTCAATGTACATGTATATAGCAGGCGAATTCATGTAAGATCAAATCTTTTCGTTATTGTTCATTGTTCCATACTGGTCTATACATCATCCAATAGACATGTACACATGAACATTGAATCCTGTCTCTACTGCATGGAAACCTGTCGCGTTCTTGCCCTTACAAAATCAAGCAAAAAGTATCAAAGTTAACAAAAGCGCGACAATGCGACATATTTTAACCTTGAACAATGTCGCATTGACGCCCTTTGATAAAACTACCAAATATACAAAGCTCGACAACGTGACAACGTGACAATGAGCAAAATGTCACGTTGTCGCATTTCCGCACTGTCGGGCTTTGGTTGATTTTGACACTTTTTTTCCTCTTTTTGTAAGAGCGACAACGCGACAATGTCCTCCTTCTATACCACTGTGATATAAACATTGTCAAAAACAACACTGGCAAAGTTTTTTTCTGTTTTATTGTTTAAAAATGAAATAAAAGAAAAAAACATGGAAAAATATGTGATGTGTCATCAATACATGACCAGGTAAAGTGGATGTGTTATTGCTTGTGGGACAGCGGACAGGGTTGCCTTTCAGGGATGCTGGCATCTTCTAGTGGCATGTCAGCTGCAAACGTCCAACAAACAGCCGGGGAAAAAGTTTCCGAGCCATCAGCGCTGCTCAGTAATAACCCCCTCGTCTTCCTCGTCCTATTAATAAATGAAAATAATAATTACGAATACGGCAATATAGTATAAATAGTGTTGCATTTAAGTGAAACATATTGATATAAGAAGACTGTGAAGCTTATGGCAGCACACGTATGGTACATAACCAAGTATGGACGATCCTTCATGGTCTTGGTACATTTTTCAGTTTAGGCCCAGACGTCCATAAGTGAAAATGCGAAGTGAAAGTAGAGTCATTTTGGCTGCTACAATGACATCTCCGACCAGAGTCGTACACAGCAATGATCATGACTATCAAGAGTGAACATCTAAACATTACCAAAGAATACCGTTACTTCTTTGAACAAATATTGGGATTGTTGATACTTCTCAGGTCGGGTATGGTGCTGATAAACCAAGAAAACATAGTCAGGGACCAAAACCTGCAAATTGAATTGCAATGTCTTTAAGTTGGAAGTTTTTTGCTTCAGCAAAACAAAAGATACAGGTGAATGTGTGCATACCGTAGTCGCCGAAATCAGGGGAGTCACGGCCGTAGTCTCCATAATTATCGTTGTCATAGCCACCATATCGTCCTCGGCCTCCCATTCGGCCGTATCCGTTGTCGTAGCCGTCATATCCGTCATAACCGTCGTAGCCACCGCCGTAGCCACCGCCGCCACCGCGGAATCTACCCATGCCACGACGCCCAATCCCGCGATGCAACATGGGACGGCGGAAACCCATGAAGGCATCACATGTAGTCAAGGCAATCAGACAAAGGGCGACAATCACTGTTGATTGCATGGTTGGTAATATTTGATCTGAAAAGAAGGTCACCGATAATGATGAGTATGTGACTCCAAAATGAATGTGAAGGACGAGGTTTGTATGTTTTTTAGCTATATGACAGCGATCTGTAAATAATCGAGTCTGGATCAGACAATCCAGTGATTGAAACCATGAGCATCGATCTACACAATGGGGATACAATGACATGCATCAACAAAGTCGCCAAATCTGACCGCCCGATCCCGTTAGTCGCTTCTTAGGACAAGCATAGTCGCCTCTTACGACAAGCATGGGTTGCTGGAGACCTATTCTAACCATTATAAACGTTATCTAAACCTTTCTGGGCTAAACACAGACAGCGAAACACTGCAAACTGAAGGCCCAAAACACAACTACGATATACGCACAAAATACATCCCCATTGAATATCCATTTCTTGTTTGTTTCCTTTTAGCCACCTTCAAACATGGGTGTATTTATAAATCATAGTCAAAGGTTGGTATAAACGACGGACGAGCGATGTCAAAACATTACAGAGTCAAAACGAAATTGCCGTAGAATGTTGTTTAAATAGTTCAGTCCACTTTAAGGATAAACCGCATACGTGTCATCGTTCAGATCAACATAGACGGAGGCTCTAAGAACCAAGACTATACTTGTAGACTGGTCTTAACACGGAAGAAAAAACTCGATTAAGGATTGGTACAAACATTATTTCCCGTTATTTTCATTGTTTCACTTTACCAAATACCATTACGGATATTCTTCTGGTTTAGAAATACTTGCAAATAGACATGCCAGTTGACTTAGTCTATCTCACATCAAGCTGATTCAGCTTACCTTCAGATGTGTGTCTTCAACGATGGAACACCAAAGATATGATTGCATGGACAATTTTCGATTATATTTATACCAAAGTCTTGAACATGAATTGTGTACATCGTTGTCGTCACAGGTGTCAATGATTGAAGAAGCAATAACTCTTGGAGTGACAGTGCACTGTGTGTGTGTGAGGCAAACCATTGTTCCGTCATCGTGGCTGATTGATGATGGTCAACTTCCGTCATTGCGTTTGGGCAATCGGTTTTATTGTCATCTGCTTTGTTTTTTTATCATCAAATTTCATTTTTCCGGACAAGGTAAAGTTAAATTTTAGAAACTTTGACAAAAATTACTCAGATATTTAAATGACAACTTTTCATGCGTTTGTTACTTGGATGACGTTTCTTTTGCGGTTCAGCATATAATGACATATTCTTGATTCGTGATAGTTGAGATTGTTACAGTTGATGAATGTATAATAGTAACTCACTGAACACGTCCCATTTTAATTCTGGAAACCCAAAAGTATACTCTACGGTCTTTGCCCAGTCTCGGTCAAAGGTATTTACAAAAATAAACATGCTGTTTTCATGGGAACATACCAAGGAAGAAAAAATGAAAAACAAATTGTTCAAAAACTCAATATTTACACTATGTCGCCCATGGGCCTGCACATGGGCGAAGACTGGCCCATGGGTAGGCCCATCGGCGAGAATATGTTCCTTTACTTAGAATTCATGTTTTTGTTTCGCAAATACATTAAATGTATTCGTTCAAGTATCATGACACAAAATTTAACTCATTTTAAGTTAACTCAACTATTTTATAGCGATATTGGAATATTTCGGTTTAAAAGGTTTGGCCCATGGGCGAGAATATTTTCCTTTACTCAAAACTCATGGTTTTTTTTCGCAAATACATATATGTATATCTTTCAAGTATCATGACACAAAATTTAACTCATTTTAACTTAATTCAACGATTTTATAGCGATATTGGAATATTTCGCCCATGGGCGAGAAAAAGTTTGGCCCATGGGCGAGAATATTTTCCTTTACTCAAAACTTATGTTTTTCTTTCTCAAATACATATATTTATATTTTTCAAGTATCTTGACACAAAACGTAACACATTTTAACTTAATTCAACTATTTTACGGCGTTATTAAAATATTTCGCCCCTGGACGAGAAAGTTTGGCCCATCGGCGAGAATATTTTCCTTTGCTCAACAGTTTTAGTTTCGCAAATACATAAAGGTGTTATAAGCATGACACATGATTCAACTCATTTTAGCTTAATTCAACTATTTTACGGCGTTATTAAAATATTTCGCCCATGTTTTCGTCAGTCCCTTTAAAGCATTACCTAACTGTGTGCAAAGTATATTGTATCATGTGAAATATACTTAATATTATATCATTACATTACTATTTAAAAAGGGCCTTTGGTTGGATGTCTCCTTTACAGAAGTTTTACAAATTTCACCTGTTTTACATATTGTAGCGATCTTTAATGAACCCGGCCTTACCTCTCAAAACGTTTTGAGAGTTTATCATACGAATTCATGCGCGTGTACTCCAATTCATTGGAGTTATTTTCCACAACATTAAAGTTTAGTTAGTTTCTATTTCAATTCCCATTTTATGTCCCGTTGATACATCACACTGGGAAATTAAGTGACACTAGGTATGCAATATACAGGTACGCGTGCGCGTGTTTTAATGGAAAAAAAACTATTCGTCTTTTATTACATAACGACTGGCTGAATATCTCGCATTCCAACGACATCTCGAAATAATTATTTATTTATATGCGGTGTCGAACTGACCAGTGGGAATTATGTTTCAATGCGATTGAGGAACACGTAAGTGAATATTGTGACACTAAAGCAACTTTTCAGGCATTGTCAATTTTGGTATGAAAATGGTAATAGTTAAGAAAAACGCAACAGCCTTCTTCTGATAATTCTCATATTCTCATTAGTACGTTGTATCTAATTACAGTGTCGGCCTTATTTACAGGTGATTCTACAATACCTGCTCTCGGTCAATTACAATCTGCCACACCACGCGTGAATAAACAGTTAAGCAGGTGTTGCTGTGGGCAAATACCTAGCCTGTACATGTATATTTTTGGTGGATACATGTATTACATATTTTCGTTGATATGTGGATATATTAAGCACAAAGACACAAAAAGTTTATGAAAGATTTGGTGCCTTGATATATATATATTCAACGAGAACGAATCTTGTATTTCCTCCGCGGTCCTGATGTGTATCATCGTTTAATGGATCATTCATTAAAAGTATGTTGTGAGGCGATATCAAAGGAGCCGCTCAATTTACACAGTGTCTTCCGTCTCGCGTGAACTACCATCCCACCCTGTCAGTAAGAGTTATGTAATCGGTACACAAATATATTTGATGCGATG